TTGGAATGCCCAGTTTTTTTCAAGCGCTTGTCTTTGAATCAATTAATTTTTTTTCAGTACCATCCGGGGGTAGAAAAAATATCTTCTATTTACACATTTAGACGTACAAACATATAGATTGAGACATAATGACCACAGTTATTTTAGGCTGTGATTCCCATGAGGGCTGGCAGCAGTTTGGTGGGACCCAGCTTGCAGATGGAGGTCTAACTCACATTTCTCTCCAGCCATATCTGTTTACAAATGGAGCGTAACCCACATTTCTATAGGATCTCCAGCCTGATGGTTATTAAGGCAAATTCACAGGATACAAAACAAGCTTAGATTTAAGGCTACGCACTTAGAAAGTGCAGGTGACCTCAGAGAGAGAGAGGTGTGCACTGAAAGCTTGGGAGTTTCCGTTTTTAAGGATTTTTCAGGAATGTGACAAAGGGTTAAGAGGTCTTAAGATGTTTATCTTTGATGAGACAGTTAAGTTTTTATTAGTCCTCTGGGTAACTCTGCAAAAATAACATAAGAAATTTACTGCTCTGGTCCCCTCCCAGGATAGCTGCTTCCCTCTGGGGGCATATCAATCAAGACTGCCTGCCCTGCCCCCATGCGGTGGAGGGTATCTCTACCCAGAAGAGGTGTAGGGCAGTGGGGGGTTACCCGAAAGGAGTACATCAGAGTAATATGGACCAAGGAACAATGTAAAGGAGGGGTTTGGGCTGGTGTTTCTATTAAGTCTTTCATTCCAGCAACCAAGATAGAGGAAGGGAGCAAAGGTCCCGAATATTCTGTAAGCACAGAGGCTGGCTCCCGTGTCGACCGCGAAAGAAACCTGACATCCGGCCACCGCCACTGTTACCCGTGGATCTGCTGGTGTGGTTGTGGAGGGGGCCTTGGGATCCAGGCCCTGTCATTTGATGGCTGAAGGCAAGGCCATGAAGGCTGCCAGGACCTCTCTAGATGTGTCTGGTCACCTGGAGGGGAGAGAACTCAAGGGAGGGGCTGACTTCCCAGGAGGGCAATCCACTCTCTAGCAACCCCACTGTCTGCAGTTCCCATCAGCTTTGTAGGAGGCCTGGGATCAGGGCAAGCAAAATGCCCCGGGGCCCGACTGCCACAGCGAAAACAGTCGCTAGGCGGGTGTGGGGTGGAGCCTTCTGCAGGCTTGTCAGCAGGAGGTTGAACTAGGGAGGCCAGAATCTGATATTTGGCTTTAGCCTGTTTTTCTTTCTGAGTTTTTTGTTCCTTATCCCTGCTGTTGAAAACTTTAAAAGCAAAGTCTACAAGCTCTTTCTGGGGTGTCTGGGGTCCATTTTCTAATTTTTGGAGCTTTTTACGAATATCTGGGAAGAACTGGGAAATGAGGTGTAGGTGTAGGAGAACAAGGCCCTCAGGGGAGTTAGGGCTGGTGTTTGTGTATGTGACCAGGGCCTCTGAAAGGTGGTTCATAAAGAGGGCTGGATTTTCACCTGTGCCCTGGGTAATTTCCCTGAGGACCTTCTAGTTGAATTTAGCAGGGTTTTCTGAGAAGGACCCCATCTTTTGTTTAATACACTCCAGATCATTAATTGAAAAGGAGGCATAAACATGAATGTGCCTTTCAATGCCTGCTCCCTCACAGAGGGGTAGCTAGTGTGAGAAGGGGCCTGGGGAGGTAGTGGGTGGGAAGCGAGAGTACGAGAGCGTGTTTGGGGGGGGAAGGTATACATCAGAGAGGAGGGGGGGTGTTCAGGGGGAGCTGGCAGTGGGGAGGGATTTGGACTTGCTCGTAGATGGGGGGACAAAGGAAGGGTTGCTCGCAGAGGGTGAAGAAGGCTTGGGTATAGGGAACTCTGACCATTTGCCATTCCTCTGGAGAAAGTTATCAAGATCTCGGAGAGTTTGGAAATCAAAAGGGCCCTCAACTAGCCAGCGTGACCCACTGTCGAGTTTATATTGAGGCCACGTGGAAGTAGAAAAAAGACCAATTTTTTTTCTTTTGGTTTAATGTCTCCTTTTAATCCCAATTGGGAAAGAGTATGTAGGAGACAGCTGAGGGGGGTGTCTCCCGATGTTTTTGAGGAAGAACTGCCCATTGTGGGAGGGTGAGAAAGGGTGGCCGGGTTTAGGAAGCACGCCGCCGGGATGTCTCCCTGAGATTGTTTTCCCACCCAGAGTCTGTGAGCTCCTGGGGCCGGGCGAGATGTTCCTGCACACCGAGAGGAAGTGTCCCCCCAGTCAGAGTGCAGGGGGTCCCTTGATGGTGTTCGCAACTGGAGAAGACAGAGGAGGGGAAAGTTTAAAGGAAAAGGGGACCCGACTAATTTTCTCTCGGTGCCAAGAGAAAGCCAGTGAGAGGCCAAAATCTTACCCTCCTGGGAATTGTGGTGGATTAATGGCTGGTGGCGGATGTGTAGATTGAGGGCTGGCAAGACGGTCGCCGGACTGGAGTTTGCAGGGGGTATTGGATAAGGAAAGAAGGGAAACGGGGCGAGACCCAGGAGGCCCTCTCAGGATCTAGGCTCTAGCCCAAGATGAGCTGTTGCTGCCCACTGCTTCCTGGGCTGCGAAAGAGCCCCTGTTCTCAGCTCCCACTCCTGGGTTCCAGCACCATATGAAAGGGAAGAAGGGACATGAACCCCACAGTCCAAGCAGGTTTATCTGAGATTGCGGAGGCCTCAGGTCCGGATTCCATCATTCATGACAGGAGTTTTACAAGAAGACCTGCAGCAAAGTAGTGTCCTAGCATCTAGAGAGATGGGAGACAGGAGCACGGTCTTCCTTGCTGGGTATATATCAAGGGGAGGGCTTCCAGGTCAATAACAAAGGCATTCCTGGGCTGTGAAAGAGGAAGACAAGAGTTTTTTTTTTTTAATGATTTGCATCTCAAAGGGGCAAAGAAAGAATTTACAATGAAAACTTCTCTAAAATAAATGCTTTAAGAAAAGGGAGGTCAGGGTCCTAGTATCAGGAAGAAATCTGCCTAAAGTTTAGTCAAGTTGAAGGGAACATTAAGGCCATGCTGGTCACCTGAAATGCATTGCGTCTGTGTCTTTTACTCTTTATCCAGGGGATAAGGATGAGAAGGCACACCTTCAAACTGAGGCAGTTTGGAAGCAGCCTTGCATTTCACTTACTGCTTGCTCCGGACCACAGCTCAGCCGCAATGAGTCACTGGAGCCTTCTCTTATCATGGTTCTTCCCTGAGCGTGCACAGAGCCTTGTGTGTGTATAGTCTCTTAGATCCCCAGGAATATGTAGGAGCTTTACAAAGTTCTCAATGGTTCTCATTCTCCAGGGTTTACTTTCAAATTCCCAGCCAAGCTTTTGTTTGCCCAACTGAGACCTCAGCCTGAGCACCTGGGATGTTGCTAGAAAATCGCTATTGTTTTGGTAATTCCCTGGCAGTGGGAATTTTTTCTCCCTGAGGAGTGAAGCTCTGAGTTAGATCATGTGGCCACAAGGCTCTGGGAATAGGGACTTTCCAGGGAGCTGGAAGTTAGGAAAAAATATTAATTAGGCTCTGGGAAAGGTACTTTTAACAGAATTCCAAAAGGAGTCAGACCTCTCAGGCTGCTGCAAGACCGTTGGCTTTTGGTGCCACTAAACCAGGGAAGGAGTGGCTCCAAGTTAAAATCCCACAGACCTCTCTGTCTTGCCAACATTACGTAGTCTTTGAATAGATGATTTTCATTTCTTTCTATGGCTGGTTAATTTCTAGAGCTCTGAAAAGGTCAGTGACAAAAGGTCAGGTCACTCATAGTCACCCTTCATCTTATCTCAGGCCTTCATTATCTCTCGCTCATACGTGTGTGTGTGTGTGTGTATTTGTTCCTCCATTTTTGGATTTATTTTGGAGTGAAATATTGGAAGTGACCTAAATGGATTAATTTTACCACAGTAGCTGGCTTCTTTTCCGGACATTCTTTATTGAATAATTCATCTGTCTTTTGATTTGTAATACTTTCTTTAGCATATATTTGGGTTGCATTAAGTGCTGGCTCCCGTTAATAGACTTTCTCTTTTGTTCCATTGTTTTTTCTCTCACACAATTGTTTTTATCTTCTGACTGAGGCTGCATAGGAAGATCCATCTTCCAATAAGAGATGTGTATATATCTTTTCTGTATATCTGCCCCAGCAGGCAAATTTTATCCTACTTTTTGAGAAGTAGCATGGTATAATAAAATATCCCCAAAAAGCTGTCATCATATATACTTTAACTTGTAACCCCGGGGAAAGGAAATCCTGGGGTAGAATGTCTCTAACACCAAAATCAGTCAAAGGGAGAAATAAAGTTTAAAATCCACTTATTGCTTACAAACTGCAGTCCAGGTCCATCTCTTTCCTGCTCAGGCAGAAGCAAAACCAGTCCTTCCCCTCACGTCTCAGATTCAGATAAACCCTCCATTGCCCAGGTACTTACCCATTGATATAGAGATGAACTTTTCTCCACCCCTGGGGAACGCCTATTAATATGTAGATGCACTAAAGCCAGGTGAGATATTTTGGAAATATTACAGTTTTACCCACACTTGGTATGCTGGATATTTCTCCTTGCTCTTCAAATGTCCTTTGCCAAGTTATCTAACTGAGCCTCAGTTCCCTAACAGTAAAGGAAGGCCAAGAAGACCTTCCTCATTAGGTTGTGAGACAGCACACATGAGTGTGGCAAGTGCACCATCCAGGATAGAGTCATTGCTTCATCAGTATCTGTCTTATAGCTCACTGCCTCCCTCCTCCTATATGTAGACAATTATTAGGTTAGTTAATTAGATTTTTTTTTAAAAAGAAAGGAAATCCACCTTTTAGGTGATGATGAATCCCCAATTGCCCTTCTGTGAAGGTCCCTGGGACTCTTAGATCACTTTGAAATAGCAGATGCTTGCAGGGGTGGAGCTGGCTGGCTCAGAATCGAGCACCACTGCCCCCCTCATGCTCCAGCCTGACACCTCTCTCTGTAATGTGGCTCCATGCTGGCCCCCCCTCAAACTCACCTTCAATCCACTCCTTTTCCCCTCTTACCACCAGAGCTATACAAGAGGTGACAGGCCAGCGAGGGATCTTCATCACCCGCTCCACATTCCCCTCTTCTGGCCGCTGGGGAGGACACTGGCTGGGAGACAACACAGCTGCGTGGGACCAGCTGAGAAAGTCTATCATTGGTGTGTGGGCTTTTCCCAGGGCCTCTGATGGTGGGCACTGGTAGTATCTAATCATCACCCATGTGGGCAATGAAATCAACAGAAGCTGAGTTCTCTATGCATATGAGCTTTAATCTATACCCATCTTTGCTTTTTTCATAAGTGACCCAGGGTTTTCAAATGGGGGATGGAAGAGACAGGTCAAATGACCCTCTCAAGGGGCTGCTTCATCCAGCACAGCTGTATCTTCTCATTGCAGGCATGATGGAGTTCAGTCTCTTTGGAATATCTTATGTAAGTCACCCTGGGGCCACTACAAACCACCCAGGCAGATGTCAATGTATCTGCAGATCCACAAAGTCCCACTTCATGCTCTGGTTTTGCATCTTCTCAGACAGGAGCAGATATTTGTGGATTCTTTGGAAATGCTGAATATGAGATGTGCATTCGGTGGATGCAACTGGGAGCCTTTTATCCTTTTTCCAGAAACCACAACACCATTGGGACCAGGGTAAGGCAGTAGGTTAGGCTGCAGGTGTTTTGTGTCCAAAATCACAGCTTCCTTTTAGCCTTCAAAAGTATCGTGTTCACGTGTTGAGAAAAATCATAAAAATGACCAGAACCTCCAATCCTTAGAAAACCCAGAGTTCAAAACATCAAAGTTATAAGCATTTTTTCAAGAATATTGTTAATCTCATGGAGGATTAGTGCCAAGAAGGGGAGAAGGATTTATAGCTCTCTACGGGGCTAAAATACAAGAAGCCCCCTTTGCCTTTAAGACGAGGGAATCTGTATTTTACTCAAATCCATCCAAGATATGTCAGCGCTGCATACAGACCCATCTCTCTATACAACTTCAGGGCCAAGGCTAGACCCATGCAAGGGCCTTAGGAGTCCTTGATGAAGAGGAGGAAGCAAGAGGCTCTCATTTAGTCAGAAGGCAGGGGTCAGGGAGGAGGTAGGCTAGAAATGAAAGGAGAGTGTATAACCTGCATGTGGGATGTGTGGCTGCTGACCCTTTTCTGATACCACTAGGATGGAGTAAAGAAGAGGTGATGGGTCATATGCTCCTTTATCCCTTTAGAGACAAGATCCTGTGGCCTGGAATTCAACCTTCGAGACGATCTCAAGGAGAGTCCTCCAAACCAGATACACGCTGCTGCCTTACCTCTACACGCTGATGCACAAAGCTCACGTCGAGGGCGGCACTGTCGTGCGCCCCCTTCTCCATGAGTGAGTTCAGCCCCAAGCAGCTGGACTGGGCAGGGCTTGTGAATAGCCCTCTGCAACAGTCATAATAGTGTGGATGGGTTTTTCAAACTTATTTTTTAAGGTTTACAGATGATCACACAACATGGGATATAGACCGTCAGTTCATGTTGGGCCCTGCCGTCTTAATCAGTCCCGTGCTGGAAAGTGTAAGTTTCCCATCCTATCAGAAACCCTCCAATCCCATTCTCTAAAGTGTAGGAAGGGCATTTTAAACATCATCTTGTCTAGCTCACTATATTCAGGCAAATGCCTTTCCAGACATCGAAGGGAGATCGTTTCCTTTTTCAAGGTCTCCATTAATGAAAACGTTACAATCCTACTAGATTTCTCATTTTGATGTCTTATTACCTTGCATCCTTATAAAATTTACCTTTTTGAAAAATTAATTTTTCTGTGTGTTTGAAGAATAATTTCCCAGGATCATTCTCAATTAAGCCTCCCAAACTCATGATTAAAATCAGTAGTAAATTCCACTTTAATCTGAATTCTAAGAAAGAATTTTTTAAATTAAAATTAAATAATTGGAATCTTCATAATGATATGTTAATTTTGTTTCAGAGCACTTCTGAGGTCCATGCTTATTTTCCCAGAGGGCGTTGGTATGACTATAGCATGGTAAGCGCCAACATATTTTGTGAAGAACCAGATAGGTCCCTGCAGGCTAGAGAAGTGGCTAGGGCTTTCTTCGGACTTCCAGGCACATAGTTTCTAAAGTAATCATTTTCAACCTTTAGCCACACAAGCTTTGCTTTAAGTGTCCATAGAAGAATAAGTAGGTAAAATCTTATCACATTGATTCCTACCCTACCCCTCACCTTTTCTGGAGAATATAGAGAAAGGACTAGATTTCCAGAGTTTTTAGCAAAACTGAAAAACAGAGATTTTCTCCTTAGATTTTCAGTGTCCTGCTGACTTTCCAATACACTTCCTTGGAAAGGAAGGGCTTGTGTGAAAGCATGCATTCATTTCATCTATCTATCTGTCATCATCCCTTACCTATATTTTCCCTTCTAGGAATCTGTCAATACATCAATAGGTGAATGGAAAACCCTGCAGGCTCCCCTTGACCACATCAACCTTCATATCAGAGGAGGCTACATCCTGCCTTGCCAAGAGCCTGCAATGAATACTCACTCCAGGTAAGGAGGAGAGGTGGTATGTGATGGCTTCATTTTGCCATAAAGGGGCAGCCTCACAGGCAGCTATCCACCTTGACCAGGACTCTGGATAAATAAACCACATTACAGACAGTTTCACTGATTTGATTCTGTGAATGCCTTCTGACTAGGATCTGGGGGAGGAGTCATGAAGTCAGTCTTGGGGAGATCTTTCATCTGTGGCTGTGTCAAAGGTCTGAGGCAAAAATTTTCCTAAGATTGCTGGCATTTACTGCTTTCCACACTATTAGAAAAATTGGGAATATTAATGAGCTCTTTGGTTTGTGATGGCTATTCAGGAATTTAGTGCTCATTTCCAGCCTACTTTGGTTGACTCAAGGAGAGATAATATACATGTGTGTGTGCGTGTGTGTGTGTGTGTGTGTGTTACATTAAGGAGAACATACTATGTCAAGAGAGACACACATAAAAGGTACAATAAAAACTCAAAAAGAGAGAAGTTAACTATCAGCTTTGTAATATAAATCATGGTTTCATATGGAAGAGGGCTTTGGCTGTGACTTGAATGACTTGAATAATAAACAAGATTTGAATATAAGACAAGGACCAGAGAGATTCTGGGAGGGTTACATAACTAAAGGTGAAAAATGAGCTGGGTTTGGGGAATCGTAAACCTTTCAGTTTAACCAGTGCATAAGGGGAAAGGCCAAAAATATAAAATAAAATCCAGCAGGTTAGGGTCAGGTCATGGAGAGTTATGCATGCCAGGCAGGATAAGCACTCTACATTTTATTCTGTGGCGATCTGGGAAGTACTGAAGGGTTGGGTGGTGGTTTTCTTCCTAAGGAATTTGTGTCTTATCATATTACTTATACATATATAAGTAAAGTATCTGTATTTGATATTTGAAAATGGAAGTTTATAACAAGTGTTTCATTAAATTTTACGTTTTTTCTGTTAGCTTTTAAGTATCTTATATTTATCTCATTATATCTATTTTTAAGCTGACCTTCACTCTTACAACCTGCAATCTAGCGAAAAATAACATTTTTTTCCCACAGCCGACAAAATTTTATGGGATTGATTGTTGCTTTGGATGACAATGGGAAAGCTGAAGGTCAGATATTCTGGGATGATGGACAAAGCATTGGTGAGTATGAGCTGTCCAGAGTCCTCATACAGATTCAGAAAAGCACACCACGGAGACTCAGGTCTGAAAATCTACCGCTATTTATGCTACTGTTAATAAAGTAATGGTGTTGGTAGAATATTTGTAACTTTTGCCTACTCATTTATACCACACTGCAATTATATAGAACAGTATATGGTTCCCAGCTTGATAGGTTCAGCAACCTGATGTTATGAATTCAGTCAGGGGTGGTCTATCTCTTTATAACTGTCTCACTCTGATGAGGCTGACAGTTCATTCATTCTCAACAGTTCACAGACGTGGCTCTATTATGTGGGCCATCTGTGTATTGCCTCCTCTGTAGGCTGCTCGGGAGATGAATTAGAGTTTATAAAACTTCTTGGTGTCTCAGAAATAGGAATTAAGTATTGTCAAAAGGATACTTACATGAAATATTACTTTGTATGCTTTCTCCCCCAACACAGGGATATGATGGTTCTTCCCTAGATAATTGGTGTTTGTCACTATAATGGGGACATCCTCTTCTTCAGACATTTCTATAGAAATGTTACCAACCAACACCTATTTTCTAATACTACTGTGAACCAGAACATTCTAATCTCATAATATGTCACAATTTCCAAAATTAGAGATTTTTTTCCCACTGGTAATATTTCTAAAGGTTTCTTTCTTTCAGTTTTCTTCATTATAAAGGTGGTATAGTCTCATTAAAGAAAACATTTTAAGCATAGAAATTTAGAGAAAAATGTAATCTTATTTAATATTTTTGTGTATAGCCTTTTGCTTTTCTTTACTTAAGACACTTCTTAATTGTTTACATTGCTGAAAACATACTGCATATTTAATTTATGATTTCTGTTTCTTTGCACTTAACATAATGGCAGAATATGTCTACATGTTATTACATATTCCTTATAAACACTATTATTATGAATATCCATTGAGAAGATATGCCATAATTTCTCTAACTCTGTAATTACTCTGTATATAAGATACAGGATGTTTTCAGTTTTATAAATAACATCCGTGAGTATTAACCTTTGTTTGTATTTCAGATTATTTCCACAAGGTAGATTCCCAAAAGTGAAATCACTGTTTTTTGATCAACTTGATTGAGTTATATTTACATAAATAAAATACGATCATTTTAAGTAATACAGTTGTATAAGGTTTGACAAGCATATACAGTTGTATAGCTACCACCACAATCAAGATGTAGAATATTTTCATCATCCCAAAAGTTCCCCTTTTATTCTTTCCAATGAACTGCCCCAGTCTTTCCATCCCCATTTCCAAGCCTTCACAGCCACTGATCTGTTTTCTGTCACTATTGATCAGGTATGTATTTTCTTGGTTTTGTGTAAATAGAATCATATAGTGTGTATTCTCTAATGGAATCACACAGTGTGACTTTCACTTCTTCCATTTAGCAAAAAAATTTTTTAATTCATACATATTGTTGCACATAAAAGTAGTCCATTAGTTTTTGACTCCTGAATACATTCCATTGTAGGATATACCGTAATCTGTTTATACATTTACTGATTGTTGAATATCTAAGTTGTTTCTTATTTTTTAGCATTATGCTTAAGTTTGCCATGATTATTCGAGTGTAAGTCATTTTTTGATCATTTGCTTTCATTCCTCTTGATCAGAAACCTCGAAGTGGAATTGCTGGGCTGGGTCACATGACAAGTATAAGTTTAACTTTTGAAGCAACTGCTCAATTATTTTCTAAAGTGGCTGTTCTATTTCCCATTCCTAACAGTAATAATTGGAAGCTCTAGTTTTCCACATTCTCACCAGCACTTGGAGTTTCAGTTTTCACAATTTTAGCCACTCTAAAACTGTAATAGTGCATCTCTTTATGAATTTAATTAGCATCCTTAATGTTCAACATCTTCTTATGTGTTTATTGGCTATTTGTACATCTTCTTATGTGAGATATCAGTTCAAGTCTTTTGCCCATTTTTTGTGTCACTTGCCTTTTTATTACTGAACTGTAAGAGAATGTATATCAGTCTTTTATTGGATATATGATTTGCATCTCCATCTATAACTTGCCTTTCCAATTCCATTTTGGCATCTTGCAAAGAGCAAACTTAAATTTTGATAAAATCAGTTTATTCCTTCTTTGCTTTAATGATTTGTGCTTTTTGTGTCTTGGCCTAAAAAAGGTTCTAGTTCCAATTCCTATCTATGTGTGTATGTGAAAGAGGTGTTTTCCCACACTAACAAGCACTTGTGGGACAACAGCTGGGTGTCCTACAATTCAACTCAATTCTGACACTGTCTACCTAGAGACAGGCACAGATCAAGGGCTCAGCCCCGTAAGACTGTATCCTCCTCACCCCAGACTTCAGATGCCAGTCACATGCTGGGTGTCCCCTGTGCTCTGACCAACCATCTGTAGGTTGGAGGTTCCAGCGACCTAACACTTTGGGATTCAGATGCCAATTGCAAGTCCAGGTTGTTCCTGGATTTCTAACCAACTGGCTACAAAATCAGAAGCTTCTATGACTCCCTTCTCAGGTTCAGTTAATTTGCTAGAGTGACACATGGAACTCAGAAAGACAATTTCCTTACTTGATTACTGGATTATTATGAAAGGATATAACTCAGGAACAGCCAGCTAGAAGGGATGCGTAGGACAAGGTATGTGGGAGGGTGTACAGAACCTCCATGCCCTCTGCAGGCACACGACTCTCCCATATCTCCATGTGGGAGCTCTCCGAACCCCATCCTTTTGGATTTCTATGGAGGGTCCATTACATGGGCATCATTGATTAAATCAATGATCACTAGTGATTAATTCAAGCTCCTTACCCCTCTGCTAAGGTCTGGGGGTAGGGCTGAAAGTTCCAACCCTCAAATCCCTTGGCTGGCTCTCCTAGCAACCAGCCACCATCTTGAGGCACTTTCCAAAAGTCCCCTCATTGACATAACAATACACCCTGATTGTTCTCATCACTGAGGACATTCCTATAATTTATTATAAATTACAACATTACATGGCCTAACCCAAAGTTAGAGATTTTCTCATATTTTTGGAAGTTTTACAGTTTTGGCTTTTACATTTAGGACCATCACCTATCTGGTATCAAATTTTGTATTTTTTAATGGTCAAGGTTCATTTTCTCCCCCATTTCTTTATCTAGTTGATCCAGCACCTTTCTTGAATACAGGATCTTTTTGCCTGTTGAATTATCATAACACTTCTATTAACCATCAATAGATGATATGTGGCTGAGAGTCTATTTTTGAATTATTCTGTTTCATTGATCTCTATGTTTATATTTATGCCATTACCATACTATCTTTACTAATATTCTTCAGAATTGTTTTGGCTATTGTAACTACTTCAAATTTCATAGATTTTAAAATCAGCTTGTCAATATTTAACAAAAAAACATTCTAGAATTTTGACTGGAATTACATTGACTCTATAGATGAATTCGGGGACATCTATCTGTCACTTTGAATAACTTAAGTCTTCTTACTCTCAGCAATGTTTTGTAATTGTCAGAGCATGGGTCTTGAACATATTCTGTTAAAAAACATATCCTAAGTATTTTTAAGTTTTTTTGATATTGCAAATGGCACTTAAAATTTCTTCACTCAGTGTATGGATAATATATAGCCCTATACTCATTTAATATAGTATATAAAAGAGATTGTTTTCAAGTGATTTGGTTGTTGTAGTTACAGATGGAAACTGGCTAATGGGAGGAATAAGATGGAATTAGATTACCTCTTTTTTCAAAGTCCAATCCAGTGTCTGACTTTTTTTTTTAAGTCCAGTCTGATACGTAAATTCTATGGAGAGGCATGCAGCATGTTAAAATTCAACAGATCTGGATTCAAACACCATTTCAGTCATTAACTAGTTATATGTCTTTTGAAAAGCTGCTTTACATCTCTTTGCCTGAATTTCTTCATCTTTAACATCTGTAAAATTCTACTTACCATGTAGATTTTTTATGCAGATGTGGAGAATAACTGGTGCATGGATGTTGAATAAAATTATCACTCGTGTGCAAGATAAATATAACTCCATTATAAGCTTGTAAGATATTCTACATTTAAGTCAGTACGATTACTATGACAACAAAAAGCCCAAAAGTCTGAGAAAGGAGATTGTTTCTCTCACCAGGCACCCAAATCAGGTTTTAAGGGAATGGCAGGAATACCATGTGACAGTGCCAATTTTTAAATTTAAGAAATGTATTTATTAATGGATTAGGATGTTCCCATCTATTGCAAAGTGCATAGTTTTCTATAAATTAACTATATGAAAGATGAAATTTTAATCAAAGATTTGTTTGGTAAGCAACAAATTGTAGCAAAAGGAGTTAGTGGCCCTGATGAGGTAATTCAGCCCTTTGTCACTTCAGTGACACTCTTGCCAAGGTGGCCGCAGACCATTTGCACCGTCAGATCATGCCATGTATAGACTTGGGTGATTAAGCAGGAAATAATTGTTATGGTATGGAACATGTGTGATAAAGCCAGTTTAGAGAATGACAAGAGGTAATGAGATTAATTTTGCACTCTTTGAATTTGGGGTGCCTGTGGGATCTCCTGGTGGAGATGGACTGCACAGGATTTGGAAATGAGGGTGTGCTGAATGAAAGGTTGAGGAGTGGAGCAGTAGACCTAGGAGCATTATGACAAACAGAAATCACATACTAGATTAATCTTTAAGATTAACTTCTTGAAAAATTTATTTTTATAAAAAAGAAATGTGACTTTTTATAAATTCTTGGGCCTGACTTTAACTTTTTTTTGCAACAGCTTTATTGAGATGTAATTCACACACCATGTGATTCACACTTTAAAGGGTACAGATCAGTGGTTTTAGTATTCACTGGGTTATGTGATCATTTACAATCAATTTTAGAACCATTTCTTCATCCCAAAATGAGCCCCATACCTTTTAGGTATCATCCCTCAGTTTCTCCACCAATTCATCCCACCATAGGAAATGCAGCCCTAGGCATTTGCCTATCTACTTTCTTTCACTATACATCCGTGTACAGTGGACATTTCATATAAATGGACTCACATGGAGTTATATAAATGGAATAAGTGTGGTCTTTTATAACTGATTTCTTTCACTTATCATAATGTTTTCAAGGTTCAACCATGTTGTAGAATGTATTTGTATTTCGTTCCTTTTACATGGCTGAATAATATTCTATTGCACAGATATACCACTTTATATATCCATTCATCCCTGATGGATGTTTGGGTTATTTCCACTTTTTCACTTTTATAAACAATGCTGCTGTGCCCATCTGGGTACAAGTTTTTGTATAGACATTTTCTCAGTTCTCTTACCTAGGAGTGGGATTTGTAGGTCATATGGTAACTAAACTCAATGTTTACTTTTGGGGGAACTTTCAAATTCTTTTACAAAAAGGATGTACCATTTTACATTCCATCAGCAGTGTATGAGAAGTGTCATTTTTCCACATCCTTGTCAATGTTTATTATCTGTCCTTTTGAGAATAATCATCCTAGTGGGTGTAGAGTAATATCTCATTGTGGTTTCAATTGATTTGCATTTCCCTGATAGCTAATGCCATTCAACATCTTTTCATGTACTTACTGGCCATTTATATATTGTCTTTGGAGAAATGTCTATTCATATCCTGTGTCAATTTAAATTAGATTGGTTTTTTAAGATACAAGTCCCTTATCAGACATTATTTGCAAATATTTTTTCCTATTCAGTGGGTTTCTTTTCACTTTGTTCATAGTGTCTGCAGTACAAAACTTTTCCATTTTAATGAAGTCAAATTTCTTTTCTCTTTTTTGTGTGCTTTTTGTGTTATACTAGAAAACCATTACCGAATCCAAGTTCTCAAAGATTTATCCTGTTTTCTTCTGAGAGTTTCATAGTTTAAACTCTTACATTTGGGTCTCTGATCCATTTTGTGTTAACTTTTTATATGGTGTGAGGTAGTGGTCCAACTTCATTATCTTGTATGTAGATATCCAGCTGTCCCAGCACAATTTGTAAAAAAACTATTCTTCCACTATTGAATTGTTTTGTCACCTTTTTTGAAAAATCAATTGACTATATATATATATATATATATATATTCATTCTTATGGCAGTACCACCCTGTCTTAATTACATTTGCTTTGAAGTAAGGTTTGAAATCAGTAAACAAGAGTCCTCCAATTTCTTCTTTTTCAAGAAAGTGCCTTTTTTTTAAAGTAGGTTTTCTTAAACTTGGTAGTATTGACATTTTGGGTTAGATAATTCTCTGTTGCTGGTGGTGGCTGGGCTCTTAATTATAAGGTGTTCAGCAGCACCCCCACCCTCTGCCCTCTAGATGCCAAAAGTACTCCCCCCAACCCTAAATTATAACAAACAAATGTGTCTCTAGATATTACCAAATGTTTCACGAACAAAATCACTGCTGGTTAAAAACCACTGTTTAAGAGAATCTAGAGTCCTCTTATACAGCTCAAGCTAATTAGTACTAGATGATTGATGTCATAGTGGGTCAATAACACCACAATTAGTGTGCAAAATCAATCTCCTATGACCAATGTATTTCAAAGAGGAAAAAGCCCCATCTCCTATAAAATTTTAAGTTCCTACAATAAATATATTTTAGTTTCAAGGTTAAACAAATCAATAGTCCCTGAAAGTTTTAAACTTTTTATACGTTTTAACTGCTATAGAGAAGCTCCTGGCTCTTTTTTCACCAGACTTAAAAATTCGAATTTAAGCAATCAAGATACAGTATAAGTATAGATTTAACTTAAATTTTCTGTTAACAAGTTTGTAACTATTTGTAAACTCTTCCTTACTGACTTAAGGAGATTTAATAGCTAGTTGAAGGATAATCTTAAATCATGTATATTAACAGAATCCCATTCTTAAAAAGTATTTATTAAAACTGCTAAAGGAGGCTATAGTATTTGCTTAAGTTACATGTTCTAGTCAAGGCTAAGTGTAAAACTATGGGTTTTATAATTGCTTGGTTTCACAAGAGTGGAGGTAATTTAAAAAACAAAGGAGAGGATTACTTGGTTCGGGGAGAGAATATGTTAGAATATTAGTAAGAGATGGAATGTTGATAAAGGCCAAGAACAGAACATGACATGAACTAACTCCTATGACTAAGACGTAGGAGTTATAGAAGCCACATGAAGAGAATGAGTGGATATCAACTAAGGAGTATTTCAAGAAAGAAATGTGTGGGCAAACAAATCTAAAAATCCTGAATGTCATGAAGAGAGACTTTGGTTTAATAACTGTGTCACTGGTGACTTTGAAAGGCTCAGATTCAATGAAAAAAGGAAACACAGGCACTGAAGTGTAGGAGATAAAGGTCTGTATTATGAGTTGGGTACACAGATGTAACAAGCGGAAGCTACCTTTTTTGAAATACATGGCACTAAAAAGATGTTGGTGATAGCTTGATGTAGAGAAAATCGAGCAGAGGATTTGTCTGGAGTGCCCTGACGCATTAATGGGGCCTGAGGAGCAGAGAGGGTTCGGGGAGGAATTGATGGAGTGAGTGCTGTAGGGGCAGGAGGGTTTGGGACCTAGAGCACTGTGGGAGGATGTGCGAGGAGCAGGGAGAGAAGAGTAATGAAGGTGAAAATGGAGATGACTTTGATGATGATAGCGAACAACAGATTTTGAGCATTTACACTGTGCAAACAGCATGTTATGGACCTCATTGCCATGGGCCAAGTACTACGATTATCTCCATTTCACAGATGATAAAATGTCAAGTAACTTGCCTAAATTTGCACAGCTACTAAGTGTAAAGAGTGGGGATTTGCATCTATGTCAGTCTGGCTTGAAAGGCTGCATTCCTAATCCTTCTCCTCTGCACGGAGCCTTCATCGCCACAGCCCCGTGAACTCTCATGACCGTGTACTTGCTATGTCTGCACAGAAAGACCCATCAGCAGCTTCAGTACTTCTCCACCTATGGTATCTATCCTTAGCTCAACCCAGATCCTCTGGTTTTATAGCCTCTTGACCCTCACCTCAAATGCCCTCTTCCATATTCACATTCCCACACTAACCTGGGGTGAAATAGTCCCTCAGTTGCTATTTTTAGGGCTCCTCAGCACTGATAAGTAATTGTGATCCCACTGAGGTGTTTTCTGACTGTAAGCAAGATTATCTGCTACAGTTGAAGCAATGAATGGTTACTTTTTCTTTTGTTTTGCTTGTAGATACCTATGAAAATGGGAACTATTTTTTGGGAAACTTTACAGCAGCTCAGGTAAGACTATTTTATTGAATTTTATAAATCCTTTCCCAGTTAACTACTGATTAGATAATTATACAGTTATCTGTATTATCAATTAACTGTATAAATATATCCCACATCTTAATAGGAGGAACTTTCTGCCTTTATGTTTATAACTCAGCTCTGCTGACATTAAAATAAGGAAGAAACAGTCCTTGTTTTGATAACTATCCAGTATATCATCGCTCTATAAAAAGAAACTTAAAACTCACGTGATGCCAGGGGAAAATGTGTAATATGTTTTCCAGGATGAGACAGCATTTTGAAGCTGATAAAATTTTGAAGGGTAAAAGCTAGATTGGCTATCTATGCTCCACAGTGGTGCTTATCAAACAACTTCAAAACTTCCGCAGCTTGTAGTAATACTTATTTAGCTCATGAGTTTGCAGTGCTTGGTGACCTGGGAGGGGCTTAGTGATCTTGGCTGGCTCACAGGCATCTGCAGTCAGTCATGGAACTGGGGGTCCTGGATGTACTCACTCACGTATCTGGGGGACCAGCTGGCTCATGGATGATCACTATGGCCCTGGGGGCTGATCTGGGCATGATCTTTTCATGACTGTAGACAAGGGCAAAAATAGAAGTGGAAATGCCTAAGTACTTTTCAAAATCCCCATTCACATCAAATAGGCTAATATCCCATTATCATGGCCAAGCCCAGATGAACGTGGGAAAGGATGACCCATCCAGAGAGGGAGACCACTGCAAAATTGGAAAATGGGTGTGGATAGGGAGGGGCAAATAATTTGAGACAATAATACAGGCATGTTAAATGATTCCATGGATACCTATATAATTCTAGTTAGAATAGGAGGATCTTCTGTGTCAAACCTGGAATCTGCCTCTCTAATTCTTACCTATTGATTTGAACTAAGGAGTAATAATATAACAAATCTGTTGTGTCTTTTCTAAATAACAGTGCTTCAGGTATTTGAAGATGTCTGTCATATATCCCTCTGTCTTCTCTTCTTGGAATTACATGTCTCCAGGCTAAATTCACTGTGCTTATACTGGTTTCTGGATACAGTTATTCTGTTGAACTACAATTAGTCTAGATTTGTCTTAAAAGATGGTGCCCAGCATTGAGAGAACATCTCCGAGCTGTACTATCCAGTATAACAGCCTCTAGCCACATGTGGCTACTGAACACTTGAAATATGACTAACCTAATTTGAATTATTCGAAGGATTGTAACATATCTCATTAATATTTTTATTGAATACATGTTAAAATAATATTTTGTGTATATCGGGTTAAATAAAAAATATTTTTAAATTAACTTCTTTTTTAAAATGTGGCTATGAATAAACTTAAAATTACGTATATGATTTGCATTACACTTCTGTAGGACAGCATGGGCATCCTGCTGCAAAATAGATGACCTCAAAACATCACTGGCATGCAACAATAAGTTTTTACTTAGCTCATTGCCTAATTATTACCTCTTTTTAGCTAAACTCTTATTTTCTTACTGTACTGCCTCACATTGTATTAATTGTTTTTGCTTTTCATTGAAGTATTATTGATATACAATCTTATATTGGTTTCAAGTATATAGCACAGTGGTTCAACAGTTACCCATGTTATTAAATTCTCACCCCCACTAGTGCAGTTACTATCTGTCAACACAGGAAGATGTTACAGAATCATTGACTGTATTATCCATGCTGTACTACCATCCCCATGACCAACTTACATTATGACTGAGAAATTGCTGTGCCCTTTTATCCCCCTCTCCCTCCCCTTAACCCCAATCCCTCCCCCAGGGTAACCACCAGTCACTTCAGTGTTTATGAGTCCAATGCTGTTTTGTTCATTTTTTTTTTAGATTCCACTAATAAGTGAAATCATGATATTTGTCTTTCTCTGCCTAGCTTATTTCACTGAGTATAATACTCTCTAGGTCCATCCATGTGGTTGCAAATGGCAGGATTTCTTTTTTTATGGCTGAATAATATTCCATTGTGTATATGTACCACATCTTCTTTATCCATTCAACTATTGATGGACACTTAGGTTATTTCCATAACTTGGCTACTATAAATAATGCAGTGGTAAACATTAGGGAGCATGTATCTTTTTGAATCAGGGATTTCACTTTCTTCTGATAAATTCTATAAGTGGAATTACTGGGTCATATAGTATTTCTATTTTTAGTGTTTTGAGGAATCACCGTACTGCTTTCCACAGTGGCTACACCAATTTACATTCTTGTCAACAGTGTAGGAGGCTCCCTTTTCTCCACATCCTCACCAACACTTGTTATTTCTTGTCTTTTGGATAGTGGCCATTCTAACTGGTGTGAGGAGACATCTCATTGTGGTTTTGATGTGCATTTCCCTGATGATTAGCGATGTGGAGCATCTTTTATGTGCCTGTTGGCCATCTGATACATCTGTCAGATATTTGGCACATATAAATCTTACAGTCAACTAAAACCTTTAAGTTATTTTCATAGGCATGATTATCAGATCATTCATCCTGCATTTGTCTTTTTGAAACTAAATGTAAGACTTTGTATACTAATTAAATGTACAAAATTCCCTGTTGTTAATTTAAGAAAAGTTGAGCTGAAGACTACATATTTTTAAGGAATTTGTTGATCTAGGAGTCCTGGATATTAGTTCTATGTCCATGCTGACTAGTTGCTCAACCTAGGGAAGACAATTCCCATTTAACCTGTTTCTTGATTATAAAACATTAAATTTCCCTTAAATAACTTCTAACTCTAAAACTCCATCCTTCTTTTATTCCAAAATAATGATAACTGGATTCTCATTCCTATGTGATATTTGAAAATTTTCCTAAGAATCAGTGGTTTGAAATGAATGAAAGCTACCAACTTGCCCTGGTAGTAATTATTATCAATGGTGTGCTGGCTGGTATGGGATTATGGGGGCATGGAGGCTGATTTGTAACATTTGCTAATTTGTGTGGTGTAAATACTCCCATCATTTGCTAGTGTGAAGCTAGCAACTGACTTGCAAAATTACGGGCAGTTTAACAGTAAGCTCTTCCAAATCAGTAAGAGCTAGCTCCAGCACACCCATTTATTTATTTCCCTTTTTCTTCATTTTCCCTTGATTCTGCTTGCCCAGTCAGTTACAAAAATCTTATTAATTCTCCATAATTTCAATTGAACATATTTCTTTTTCTTTCTGCTATTGCCACCAGAGTCAAGGAATTTATAGCTTCACTTTACTGCAACTATGTCCTTTGTTTATTGCTTAAAATCATTGTCATCTCATCTTACATACTTAACCAATGCCCTTTCTGTTTGCCTGGCACCAGCTATGGGGGTCTTCACACTCAGTGGGTGTGCCTTTGTTCAGTCCCTGCCCACCCCCATTCCTTTCCCCATTACTTCACCTTAAAATATCCTTTCCACCCTTCCAGGTCTTCTGCATGCCCTTTCTAAGTCTTTTCTTGACTACCCTGTTCCCACAGTGATTGTTCCTTTCCCTTACCACCCATAACAAACATTTACTATGACTTTCATTTGGGCCTTAATCATATGCCACGCATGACTCATCTCACATTATTTTAACCCTTATACTGATAATTCAACGGGTCATGATTTAGACAAGTTCTTGTATTTGTTGCAAACTGTCCTTGGTCTAGAAACTGTTGACCATACTTCTTCATCCACCGTGAGTCTCCTCATGCAGGACTATGCACATAGCCCCATCTTGATTCCATATGAAACCATCTCTGTGTCAGTTAGTTAGCTATGGAGCCTTGAGCTACCACCTCATCTCCCAGAGCCTCATCTGTAAAACAGAGATAATGATGCTCTCTTTTCAAAATTGTTCTAAGAATTAGTAATCAATATAGGTAAAATAACATTGATCATCTTGATACATAAACCTAATATTGGCATCATCGAATGATTGTAACAGGTACTCAGGAAGTATGTTTTCATGAAGTGTTTAAGAATAAAAATAGCAAACCAATATAATAATAAATTGGGGTTTCTTAACATTTTAATGTGGAATATAGTCTTTCAACAAATGTATTGTGTATTTTTTTATGTATTCTTTATAGAACAGTTTGAAAATCCAGACCATCCACAATGAGTATTTGAGTGACTCGAGTCCACTGAAAGTTGGATATATTAAAATCTGGGGAATAGGTTCTGCCTTTGTGACAGAAGTCACTTTCACCTATGATGGAGAGCAATTCCCGGAGACAAATTTTAAGAGTGACCCTTACAAACAGGTATGTCTCAAAAATGTTATCATAAATTAATTTTTTTATTCTATAAAATTATCACCACTGTTATTATCATTATAATATTTACTTATATTTGAAGGTTATAGATGTGTATGATAGATATGTCCCTGAAAAATTGTGAGTGTTGAATCATATTGTAAAATGTACAGTATTAGTGGACTCCTAGTACAGTGCAGGGATCAGCGATCAATGGTCTGATGAAATCCTTTCCATGTGTTTTCCAAAGAAATTGTGGTGTTAAGATTGGTTTCCCAGGCTAGCACAACAAAATCATATACTTCTGTGGCAGAGGCTAAACCAAAGGAAAGAATGATCCCCCAAAATTGTTGGAGATTTTCTCCTTCCTTCCTGAAATTACTCATATCCCTGGTCAGATTGATAGATTTGTAGGTTGGTGATAAACTATTGACAGTATACTGTGGTACTCATCAAAATGATTATGTCTCACCTGTGATGTGAGATGAAATTCTTTGGTTAACAAACAGGCTGACATAAATAGCAGACCCTGTTAGACCTCTGGTAGAATCTGCTTTAGCTGCTAGAGCCACAAAGTGGGAAAGGAATTACCAGTGGAGTTACCAAGGTAACTACGGAGGGAAAGTATCCCACTTGAGAACATCAGATCTATCATGTATGTGGACCCAGCAACCTAGAGAGGGAGAGTCAGAGAAGTGAAAACGGCTCCTGTTTCCTAAAAGGTGAAAAGAGTGTCCTGACGATATTTGGATTTTGGAAAATGACCCTCTAAACACTCAAGTAGATTCTCTATTACCTCTGCTAGTTCTCTCTTTTAAGACATTTTTCCTGGACTGAGTTCAAAACCACCCTTTGCAAGTAATTACTTCCAGTTAAGGCTAATACAGAAAAATCTTTGAACACCTTTTATTTTTTTGAAGCTTTGTAGCATGTGGGATGCCTGTTATGTGCCAGGCACTATAGGTGTTGGGAATGGTGAAACCATGAAACAAGCCTGCCCTCCAGAAGGTTAAAATCTAGTGGCAAAGCAAAGAGATTCTTTTAAACAATGGTTTTAATCAAAGCTGCAAATACTTGCCAGAAATATGGTTACTGACTAAGAAGTGGAAAGAAGCAGATTTCCAGGACGATTACACACACAGCACTTCTCTCCATACTTATCTGTTTGGAATCAGTGTAACCTGACTTAACGGTGATGTTTAA